GAGAGAGAGAGAGAGAGAGAGAGAGAGAGAGAGAGAGAGAGAGAGAGAGACTATAGGTTTCCAACCTCGCCCAACAGCTAAGTCTTTACTCCCGTGGTCAGACGTGGGCCCGCGGTCAGGTAGCGCCGGCCAGCAGCCATCCCTGGGGGTTACACCCCAGTGGTGCTAAGACTTTACCGTTTAGCTTGGTCTTCCTTACATGCCTTGAGATTAGCACAAGTGGTCGGGCGGTGTGTCGCAACAATACAGGTCTACTGCGAGACTGCGCACAGGCCTGTCACACATAAAACGGTATTTACCAGTCCTCCGTGAGACAGCACAGAGAGACATGGCAACCTCTCCACATCCACAAACACAGATCACCGCTAGACTCACCAGGTCATGACCTCCCAACTTGATCAGAGTAGGAATGCCACACATCTCAACGGCATCTCTCGAAATCAAACGTTTTGCGACATTTATGAAAACCCCACCAAATGGCCACTGAAACGGGTCCCTCTCGTCAACCTTTTATCTTTCCAACCCAGCTTATCGTGCCATTAGATCTGTTAATCGCCTTTCCTATAAAGGAGGTCTCACGCAATAGGTCTGCCAGCCACACCTCTCTTTCCAAGATGGGCTCTCCCATGACCTTTGTAAAACATCTTCCTTTCCTGAAGACGAGTCTTCCAAGCGAGACATAAAGTACACCTCAACCATAAAACAACACAAAACAAGAGGCCAACTTATGGGTCTCCAACACAACTTAGATACGTAAACCTTTGGCATGATAAGCTTTCGAGTCCCAGGGACTCATGGACCCTTTAGGATCTTCACAACACTTTTCACAAAACAGGCTGCGCTTCCTCTCCTTATACTCGGCCCTAGCATCCGCCCTTGGGCAGGTCGCACGAGTATACCGAAGAGTAGACAGTTTACACCCATTCACAGGGCATAAACATATGAGTTACTTGTCACTCAACTCCACACAAATCATCATACATTTGTGGACCACACATGTGAGAGTGAGAGTGATCGTCATACATAGAGAAGTAGTTTCAAAATCCCAGCTCAGTATATACTCAACAATAGAATATATGTCCAACCCCAACATCAATACTCAAATGTTCTGACCCCTCTCACATCCGGTGGGCTCATACCCTAGGTGTTTCTGACTCTCACATCACCTATAGGTGGGCTCTGAACTCAAAACAAAAAGCAATACAATTAGGTGTCCTAAGTATCACACAACTGAGTCTCAGCCCTCGGATCACAACGCGAAAAGAACCTCAAAACCTTATTGTACATTGGTCCTTAGTCATACACAACACCCTAGGATACGTGTATCTGACTCATGATACCCTATACCCTTGACTCACTCTTTCTATGTACAGGAAGTACCTTACTCCTACCGGCGTATAGGTGAACCAGCCCCTACTCGCTCATCTCCTCCTGGTTTTGCCTATACAACTGGGCTCTGCCCCCATCTGGAGCCCTCTCTACCACTCGCCCTTGTCTATCATACATCTTGCTTTCCTGCTCAGTGACTCGTCCCTCAACCTTGTCCTTGAGGAACTTAGGACACTCTAGGGCCCTATGCACACCATCTAGGAAGTAGAAACACATAGCCTCTGATTTTCTTTGAAATCTCTTCTTCTTTTTCTGGGTCCCCGACGACGGAAGTGCCTCTCCTATCTCCTTGCTCACTTCATGACTCTAGGGTAGGTGCCACGGTCCCTCAGCTCCCCCTCCAATTCCCTGGGCACTCAACTCCCCTCGCTGCACCTCTCCCTCGGGTTGGTATTCAGGGGTGTCCAGCCTCAGTGGCCTGCCCTCGCGGGTTTCTTCCAACATAGCCGCTTCCTCACTTTCGCGAGGCCTCGGAGTCTGGGGAGTAGCGGCTATAGTAGGCCGGCTCATGGCCTCCTGCTGCTGCCGATCAGTGGTCGGTCCCCCTGAGTCGGTCTCAGTGGCCCATGAGCCCAGCTGTGCCCTCAACTCCCCCATCCTGGGTTCGTGCTCTGGGGTCTCCAGTCCCTGAGGCCTCTCTGGCGGCATATCCACCTCCATTGCAGCTACCAACTCGTCCAGACGTGATGGCTCCTCCCTTTGCGCCTCAAGCTGTGGAGGCTCCATCGCTCCAGTGAGAGTCCCCTCCTGTACGTCCAAAAGCATCGTTGGTGACTCCTCAACCGCCTCCTCCTCTACTGGTGCAGGTTGGGGTTCCTAGGTCAGCGTCTCCATAGGGGTGCCCGCTGAAGTAGGGGCCTCCTGCTGTGAAGCCAGTTCAGTGGGAGCCTTGAACTCAAAGCTTCCTCTGTTGGCTTCCCTTCTTGCCTCTGCATCAGCTGGGTCCAAAAATACCTTTCCCAGCTTCTCTTGTTGAGGCGCCTCTGCTGCCCCCTCTTGGCCAAACAATCTTTGCATGCCCTCGCCTTGGATGCCATACCCGCTCTGCTCAGTCCAGTCGACCACCTTGGTAGCGGCAAGTCTTTCCACTGCGGACGCCATTTCCTTGAGCTTCTTCTCCCACTCAGCCTCCTTTGCCTCCAGGCGAGCTCGCTAGGCCTTATTCTCGGCCCTCTCCTCTGCGAGCTGGGTAGTTAGTTGTTCCACCTCCTCTTTCCTGAGGGCCAGCTCACTGCCATCACTGAGCAGGGAGTACCTTTGGAAGGATATGGTGGCCGCTTGTCGTACCCTTCCATCCACTCGCTCGATGGCCTCTCTGGCAGCAAAGAATCCCAACTTTCCAACCTCCATCACTTCGCTTGCCCTCTCTCTGGCCTGCCCGCCTTCCTGTGGCCTCCTGCTAGCTGCTTCCCCTCGAGTCTCATACTTGGCCCACAACTCGTCAATCCTCTCCTTGCCTGTCTTGGGGTCAGATGGCGGCGTGGGCACCATCCCCGCAGCCTCCATCCTGTCCCTCCGCTCATGTATCTCTACGAGGCGGGCCTGTATCTTGGCAAGCTTCGCCCGGGCGGCTTCGTCTGGCTCCTTTTCTGTGATTGCCTCCATGACTTCCCCAACCGCAGCCTGCGAGCCTCCTCCTGACTCAGCAAACGCTGGCCCCGATGATGGCCCAACCAAGCTGGGCCCCTCAATGTTAGGGTGCTTAGCCGCATGCGCAACTAACCGTGAGTCAATGACCAGACGGGGCTCCGTCCTCCATCTCTCTTCCGATCCCCTTGCCTCAACCTCCTGTCGGGGTGACATAGAGGCTTCTGGTAGCGGCATCGGTGCCTCCTGACGGTCTGGCTTCGGAAATCCCTTTGGCCATGACTGACGCATCTGGACTCGAGCTGGGGTGCCGGGAGGAGTATCCCCGTCTATCATAATAACATCTTCCGCACCTACCCCCTTCAATCTGAGTGGCTCCGCCTCGGTCTCGGGGCGAGTCGGCTCCCCTCCTGGTGGGTCCGTAGGGCTCACCCCTGCTGAAGGGGCCTCCCACTGGGACGCATCCAGGTGAGCTTCCAGGCTTCTGAACGGCGATGCCAGTACCTCGCTCTCCCTCCGCTCTGGTGTCTGTGACGAGGACCCCAGTAGGTCATCCTCCGTGACTGGATGAAACTCCACCTGCCTGAGGCCACAAGCAGGGAAGGACTCCCTCGCCCTAGTTGGTCCTGCTTGTCCTCCTTCCCGTTGTGCCAAGGCTTTCCAGCCGCCTCTCGACTTAACCGGTCCTCTTGCCTCCAAATCTCTTAGCCTTTTGCTTCGCCGTCTTCTGTCAATCCTGGGTTCTGGCCTTTCTGGTTCCGGCCACCGGAATGCCTCCCTCAACTGAGCCCGACAGTCCTCCCAATCTCGTGCCCGATCCCGGATCTGCCTCGCCAGCGGACGCTCCGCTCCTCTGGTCCAAATAAGTAGCGCCTGCACCCACTCATCCCTCAGAGCCCCCTGATCGCTCATATACTGTTCGTATGCCGGGATGAACTCCTCCACGTTCCCTTCCTCCAAGCGGATAGGTAGCCCATCACTCCCCAAAGGCGAAGCTCTCAATCTCTGCATCCTCGCCTCTACCTCCGACCAGGTCAGTGCCTCCTCCCTGATTTGCGCGATGGGCTCCTCGAACCTCCCAATTCCCCTTAAGTGATGTATTCTCTCAGACACGTCCCATCCTCTTTGGGCTGCATGCTCTCGGTAGACGTCCAAGGAAAGATCGATGTTGTCGTCATCAAACACGGGTGTAGGCTCTCTCCTGAAGGGCCCATGCCGCTCTCCCCCTCCGGATGCCCTGAGAGGTCTCTGTCATGGCTGCGTGCCCCGCCCGCCCCTCTGCATGGCTGCCTTCAAAAAGTCAGACCTGCACATCAGGCGAGACGAAACAGACAGGCACACGACAGGATCAACGTATAGGCTCAACAGTCTTCAGAGCAAACACACACCCAATCTCAGACACATCAGGCCTTCCTTTGCTTCCAACCATGACATGCAATACTTAGGACGAGGGTTTACCCTGAGAGGGATCGCGGCTTTACCTATTCCCTGGCCACAAACTTCTTTAGCCTTGTCCTGGATACCCAATCCTTCCGTTCCGTCCCGTTTAGCTCTTTGATCTGGTATGCCCCAAATTCGCCGCATCGCACAATCCTGTAGGGCCCCAACCATCTTTTGTCGAGCTTCCTTGACCACTGTTTCTCTAGGGATAAGTCGTATAATAATACAATATCCCGAACTGCCAAGGGCTCTTTCCGCACTCGGGCCATTTGATCCCACTGCATCTTATCCTCCATCCGGCTCCTCTCAACACACTTGGAGGCCTCTCGTAACCTTTCCTCTGCCGCCCCCACCTGTCGTGCTCGGATATCGAGCAACTCCTCAAACAACAGGTCTGTCTCCAAGTCCTGACGCCTCCAAGTCTTCAGGAAGCTCTCGATAGGGAAGGTGGCATGCCTCCCGTACCACAGAGTGGTAGGCGCGTACTTGGTGGTCCTCTTTATCGTGATGTTCTCCACGAAGAAAGCTGCTCGCAAGAACTTTGGTCACTGACCGGGTCTGCCTTCCGTCTATTTGGCCGGGAGATTCGTGATGGTGCTATGCCCCCTCTCCACAGACGCGTTGGCTTGAGCGTGCGCCGCGGTGGTGTAATTCGCCACCATGCCATATCCTGCCAGCAAGGTCTGCACCTCCTTACAGGTGAACTCGGATCCTCGATCCATCACGAATTCTTTGACGAACGGGTGGCGTAAGTAATATTCCTCGATACAATTGGCTAACACTGGGCCAGTTTTCGAGCGAATAGCCTGCCCGTCCACAAACCCGGTGAGGTTGTCACGTGCATCGAAGATATAATTACACCCGTTCTCTGCAGCTGGCATAAAGAGTAAGTCCAAATGTACAACAGCGCCTACCTCCGTCTCCAACCTTGGGTGCATGGGCTCCCCTGGCCTTTGGGCAGACCTCTCTTGACAAGGGACACAAGACTGGCAGTACTTGATGACCATGCTCAACATTCCATCCCAGTGGTATAGCTCACTTATCTTTGCACACGTGGCGCCTATCCCCCTGTGCCCTCCTACTATACCATCATGTAATGCCGCTATAATGTCCAGTTGTCGGTTTCTCCCGCATACAATCCACTTGGGGTTCCCAACTTGCCGCTTTATAAACAGATGGTCATCTCTCAACACGTAGAGGTGCCTCATCTTCTGAGCCTTGTCGCTAGCATCCCTGTCTCTCATTTCACAGGATAGGAGCAGACCCAACTCAAGATAAATCCCATCGTACTCCTCTGCCCCGAATGCCTTCTTAATCTCCCCTTCTTCGAACTCGTCATCCTGGCTTTCCGGGACGAGGTCCTCACTCTCCATTGGGCTTAGGGAGTTCCTCTGGTCAAAGTCCCCTTGCACTGGCATATTTGTGAGCAGGTACATTCCTCCCATCAACTGCTCATGCTCCTCCACTTGAGTGGGCCCTTCCTCTATCGCCCTCACCTCTTCCACCAGGCCATGCGTCCCTGCCAGCGCCAGCTTCATCATCCACTGGACATCCTTGCCTCCCCACGGATCCTCCTCCTGAAATGGCTTAAGGACCAAGTCGGCCTTCCGCTCATATCCTCTTGGTGCTATCCATATGGGGTGGCTGACACAGTTGGGTACTCGCAGCGCCCACTCGTTTATATGGAGCCGCACGTCTTCCTCCTGATCTAGGAACCCGTCGACTGGCGGGGTGTCTTCGGTCGAGTCCTGACTCACACTGTCCCAGTTGACGCGGCTCAGGCCATCAGCCCTATTCTTGTTCCCTGGGATCCTTTCCAGCTCGAAATTAAACATTCAAATGTACGTCAACCATCGAGCGACGGTTGGGTCAGATGGTGTATAATTCTTCAGGGAGCAGGCAAGTGTCGTAGGGTCCACCCTTAATATAAATCTCCTGCCGAAGACGTAATTCCGGAAGATCCTCAGGCAATGGAGTACCGCGAGCGTCTCTTTCTTAAACTGAGAGTAATTTCTCTCAGTCGTGTTAAGAGTACAACTTTCGAATCTTAGCGGCCTCTCCTTTCCTTCAGCATCTGCCTGAATTAAAACCCCTCACAAGGCGGTTGGCCCAGCGTCAGTCCCGATGATGAATGGCCTTTCTTCAGTCCCCTCATAGTTCGGCGCCCCCATCACCAATCCTCCTTCCCTGAACTCTCCCTTCATCCCGGTCACTGCTTCTTCCTGGTCTTCGTCCCAAACCCACTCCTGGTCCTGGCGCACCAATTTCCTTAAATGCTCAGTCTTGGCGGCGAAGTTTTTCACGAAGCTTCTCCAAAATCCGCAGGTGCGAAGAAAGCTTCTCACATCCGTTATAGATTGGAAAGGCACTGGACACTCTAGGATTTTGTCTGTCTTCTTCACGTCCGGCTTCCGACCATTCTCGTTGCAGACGAACCCCAGAATGGTGGCTTCTCTCATGCAGTGCTTGAATTTTGGTCCACTTGCAGTGAGGTTGTACTCCTCCAGCTTTCTCCTTTGGCCCTTTGACCGCCAGGTCGTCGGTGTAGGGTTGAGTGATGTGTGGACTGACTGTTTGCATGACCCTGATCATATGTCTTTGCACCATCGCCATCGCATTTGTCCAACCCTGAGGGGCCACATTCATGTGAATTAGCCCCCTTGGCGTGTGCATTGTCGTCACCGGCCTATCGGACGGGTACACAGGGAACTGATCATACCCAGAATAGAGGTCTATAAGTGAGATTATAGGCCTCCCTGCGCATGATCCTGATAGTGCATCCGCGTTCGGCAAGCCTCCCGCATCTCGCACCGTTACCGCATTTAGTCGTTGCAGATCCTGTACCCATCGTAGCGTCCTGTTCGGCTTAATAAAGCAGAACCAAGGGGAAGCATACGAACCGCTAGAGTAGCCGGCAACATGCGTACGCATCTTGCCATCCAAATAGTCCACCACCATCTTCTCCTCACCAGGGTTTGGGTATCGTGCACCCCTTAGATTCCAAGGCCCGTGTGGGACCGTGTGGATCCGGATCATTGGGATCTTGTCCACATCCAGCCTCCCCCGCTGGTCATCATTAAAAACGTATGCGCGATGCCTCTTCTTCATTAGCTGCACCATCAGCGTCCTTTCCTTGGGCGAAAGAAACCCTGGCTCCCCGACTATCAACTTCTCTTCATTTCTATCATTGATACGTCGTGGATCCTTCAGTGCCTGCTCTTGCATTCGCCGTATCAATCCTCGCTCCCGCTCGTAATAAGCCTCCTCATCTTCCGTAACGAGCACGGGAACAGGGCGACACTTTTTATCTACCGTTTTGTACCGCCTTTGGGCGCCCTGCTTAAGCCGTCCCCTAAAAAAGGTCGGCTTGTTGTTTGCGTTTGTGCCATCACATGCCCTTTTCTTCCTCCGGGAAGTCGATACATAAGCTCCACTTCTCCTGCCTGTGGGCATTCCAAAACATGCTCTCGCAAAGCCTTGATGGCCTCCGGGTCCGCCATCTCATGCGCTGCCACGATCTCCATAGCCTTGCTTACGTCTGTAAGGCTTAGTGACAGCACCTCCGCCTATGTAACCGGTTGAACGCGCCGAATGCGCGTTCACGTTCAAACGCGTGCGTTCATACCCCCCGGGACCGCGTTTAATCGCGTTCAAACGCGTTGCGCGCGAAGGAACGCAAAAAAAATGAACGCGACCCAAGGGGGTGGGCGCGCGTGCCGAGGACTACGGGCATGCAAAAAATGAAGTAAAGAAAAAAAACACGAAATACCCCTTCCAAACATATACACACGCCCAGCAACACACATAGATGTTTACACACACAGATATCTGCATTCCTTTTTTTTTTTCTAACGGCCCATGCGGCCTATCTGAAGGGTCCTCACAGCCATGTGGCGCGGACCCCCCCACCGATATGAAGGCAGGCAGTGAATATGAAGTGAAGCACGAGCTGGCCGAATATATACTCAATTTTCGAATTCAGGTCTGTGTTTCAGCAGTTATGGGTTCCACATGGCTGGGCCTTGGTCTCTGCACGTGATTCTCAGGGCTTGGCTGCACTACTTACCAAATGTGCAAAACTAGAATGAATCTTGTGCAGAACATGAAATAATACGCTGCCATATGTTTTGTGTTTTGTGGCTGTGGTGAGTACAGGCCCTTAGGGCCATTGCACGTATTCCTAAGAAAAGAAAAACGAGAAAAAAAATTTCCCTTTTTTTTTTATTCTCGTTTTTCTTTTCTTAGGCATACGTGCAGTGGCCCTAAGGGCCTGTACTCACCACAGGCACAAAATACAAAACATATGGCGGCGTATTATTCCATGTTCTGCACAAGATGCATTCTAGTTTTGCACATTTGGTGAGTAGTGCAGCCAAGCCCTGAGAATCACGGGCAAAGACCAAGGCCCAGCTACGTATGGAACCCATAGCTGCTGAAACACAGACCTGAATTCGAAAATTGAGTATATATTCGGCAAGCTCGTGCAATTCTTCATATTCACTACCTGCTTTCATTTTGGTGGGGGCGTGGCTGAGACGACCTTGCAGATAGCCTGCATGGGCCGTCTGAGCGGTGATAGGGAGATTTCCCCACCGCCTCGAAAAAAAAAAAGGATCCTTCACACACACACACACACACACACGTTCACACACACGCAGACACACGCATCGGCCCACAACCCCCCCAAGCCCCGCCGCCATTCCCCACACTGCCCACAGCCCCCCCAAACACCGCCGCCGCTCCCCACACTGCCAAAAGCCCCCCCCCACCCCACACAAACCCCTGCGCAAACGCGTCAAACGCGTTCACGCGCGTTCACGCGCGTTCAAAACTTGAACGCAAAAGCCCCCCCACACCCCACACAACCCCCTGGGGTCGCGTTCATTTTTTTTGCGTTCCTTCACCCGTAGCGCGTTTGAACGCGATTGAACGCGGCCCCGGGGGGTATGAATGCGCGCGTTTGAACGTGAACGCGCGTTCGGCGAGTTCAACCGGTTACATAGACCTCCGCCCCACCTTCCTCCTCGGACTCCTCCCATAGCCTCCGCCGGTCGTTCTCCGATTCCACATAGGTGAATGAGCCGGGGTTAGGCCTATTCCGCTCGCTCTCTGGCCCCGTGTTCCGGCAGGTGACAACTTCGTAGTTTCCATAGGTTGGGTCACTCCGGAGCAATATCATCGTTCCATCGTGCTTGTTGAAGATCAGGGTCTCCGTCCTGCACATGAACGATCTGCCCAGAAGAATAGGGTGTTCCACGTTCGGCATGACGAAAAAGCACGTCCTTGCTCGCACCTTGCCAATTTCTTTGATTACATTTGACGTCGTGCCGCAAAAAACTGCCTTGCAATTAGCCCCGTGCAGCACGCCGTGATCCGCACGGTCGATCTCCATTCCAAGCATGAGCGCATCTCTCTCCCTGATGATGTTCATTTCAGCGCCCGTATCCATCATTGCCACACACTTCTTTTCTTTCACCACTAGGTCCACCAGCCCGCATGCCGCACACTTCCAATCCATCCTTGTCCCAGCTTGTGTCCGCCCCACTTCCCTTGGCAGGACTGCGCTCAAATGAACGTTGGGCACTAGCCTTCGAGACAATCGTCCTTTCAATTATTCCCGGAGTCTTGGTGCGGACGCCAGAATATCTTTTAAATTCATAAGGTCATTATGACCCTCAAGGAGCCGGTCCACCATCCTTTCCACGTCGAAATCTTCCTCCAACCTGACGGTGTACTTTTTCTTCCTGGGCACACCGTCCTATGGGCCTGGCTCGACTCTTTCCTGAGCCTCCTTTCTCTGAGCTCTTTGCTCCGTCCGCCGATCCTCCTCCTGACGGAGTCTCTCATCCTTCGTGTCATCACCTTCCTTTTCTTCTTCTTCCCGGACCTCAACCACCTCTTTCCTACGCTCAGGCTCGGGTCTCTTCCGCGGAGGCGTCTGACTTGTTGCCTGGCTTGGTGTCTGACTAGGGCCCACCTTACTCTGGCTCCTGGTTTGAGTCGCTTGCGGCGCCCGCCCATGCGAGGTGGGCGGCCTAAACGTCATTCCTGACCTAGGGCCCAACCCTGCCGTGGCAACCCCAGGGCTACTCTGCTGTCCAGCTGCCGTCCCTGGCCCAGTTTCATAGAGGAAGACCTTTGGGAGGTCGGCTCTCCACCCCTGGACTTCATCATACAGCTCTTTTAATCTCCGCTGGTACCGCCACATTTTTTTCATCAAGTCCTCCATCTTCTCCAAGGTGACTATGGCCGGCCCCCTCTTGCCCTCTTGCCCCTCGTCATCCGATTCGACAATTATCGGCTCTTCCTTTATGGCCCCAACTGTTAGCCGTTGCGTAACCTCCTCACTATCCCCCGTAATCTCCTCGGCTCTTATGGTCGGGTCTTCTCTCTCCTGCCACATTCTGAATATGGTCGGGGGTGTTGGCGGCCCCGCCGCCGCCCGCCTGAGGGCCTCCTGCCTGATCCCTCCCGGGGTCTTGGGGTCAATGTGCTTCCCCCACTTATCATATATGTCCCCATCCATACAGGAGGAGATCAGGCCTGCGAGCTCATCATCCCGCCGTTGCTGGCAGAACCGAATCGTGTGACCTACGGCGCCACAATGCCAGTAGGTAGCATTCCGCCAGTCGAAGCGGGGCCTCCCATACCCTTGGCCTCCTTGCTGGCCGCCCTGGTCACCTTGGCCCTGGCCTCCTTGGCTATTCCATCCACCGCCACGTCCCCCGCCATTTCGACCTCGTCCGCCACCCCCTCGGCCTCCTTGTCCCTGACCACCATTCCCCTATCCTCCTTGCCCTTGGCCTCCTCCTCCCGCCACGCTAGCCTGCGATGCTTGCTGCGAGGGGGGAGGCTGGGCCGTGAATTGGCCTTGCGTCGCCGGGAAACTTGGCGGCCCTGCGCTCGTTGACAG